ATTTGCGTGGTTTTTTTGGGAATTTAGAAAAAAATGGTTGAAGATTCAAGAAAAATTTTTTAGAAAATGGGGGTTTATCTAAATCTTTTTTTCTTTGCTGAATTTTTAACTACTAATTCTCGGCATTCATCCTCTTCATTAAATAGACAAACTAAATCTTTTAAATTGGCTAAAACATTTTTGCCACTTTTTCGATAGGTTTTGTGATTAGGGTCAAGGAGTAAGACTTGGAAGAAATTATTGTTCTTAGTAGGTTGGTTTTTTTCTAGAATTCCGAATAAACGGGCTTCCTTACTGAGCGGGATTTGTCAGACTTGTTTTCTTTTTAAATCATCAATTTCTTTTTTATTTAAACCGATTAACTTACCAATACGATATTTGATGTATTCACTTTTGGCTTCATGACAATTATCAGTAGTTTCCTCAAATTCTTCCCAACCTTTACGACTACAATCCTGCATAACTATATAGGAGCTGGCCAGTAGTATTTTGAGTTCTTCTTTTCTTACGGCATTAGTAAAGTCTTCGGTGTGAATACAACCGACAAACATTTTACTAAAATCAAAAAGAGTTCTGGTCATAAATTCCCTATATCCTTAAAGAATTGGCAATAGTTTCTATTTTTATTGGTCTTGATTTTAAACTATCATTCAAAGGTTTACGAGTTATTTTTCAGGCTTTGTCTTTGGATTTTTCGTAGAAGTCTAGGGTTCTTTTTTGATTTTCGGCTTTTTTATATTGTTGGTAAATATTTTCGAGATGGTTGATAACTGTCTGGTTTTTTATTTTGGGAAATTTATCAAATAAACCTTTATAAGTTTCGTTTTTTTCAAAATAGTCATCCATCGCATAAAAAACGGAATTAAGAGTTGGACCAGCCCGTCAGGCTTGAAATTCTTCTTCAAAAAGTAAAGCATTTTCTTTTTTTAGGATTTCTTGGTAAGATAAATAGAGTAAATCCTGCATAGTTGAATTTAGTTCAATCCCCCTCTCGTAAAAATACTTTGCTACTGATAGTGGATTAACATTCAAATTCTTTAATTTATTAGTTCTAGTTGCCATAACATTGCTTAATTTGGTTTGGTTTTTTACTTTTCAATCTAAATTTTCTTTATCGCCAAAGAACATGAAGAAGAGCGATAGTAAAAAACGCTTAAATCTATTTTTGGTTAGTTAGATACATATATTAGTTATTTTACCTCAATCTCATAATCCACTAAGACATTAGCACCTTGCTTGCTTTCTTCCACGGTAAAGTTTATTTCAGTTCCTTCTTTTAGTCAGGGTCATTTTTCGGAGTTAACTTTACCACTAAAAACAAAAATACTTTCCCCATTATCTAATTCTAAAATGAGATAGTTATTCCTATTTTTATCTAAGAGTTCTTTACGGAGAGTAATGGTGGATTTGATGGTGCGAGTTAAGTTCATTGATTAATTAAGTTTTATTTCGGTAATTTAGTCAAACAATTAGCAAACTGAATAAAGCGGCAATGGCGGAAACTACCGAAGCATAGGCCAAAATTTTATTTCACTTATTATTTTGCTCTTGGAGTTCCTTTTTTAACTGTTTAATTTCTTTTTTTAGGTTTTCAACTTCTTCTTTAAGGGTCATTGATTATTTTTTTTGACTAATGGCTTCTTTTAAGTTAGTAGAGAATTTACATTTAGGAACTCTTTTCGCCGGAACTTTCATCTTTTTCTTAGTTTGTAAGTTCATGGCCATGCGAGGAGTAGTCATAGTAGTTTTGAGAGTGAAATAGCCGAGCAAACGGACTTCTTCACCTTTAAGGAGAGATTTTTTGGTTTCTTCCAGTAATTCATCAATTATTTTAGCTACTTGGTTTTGTGGATATTTAGTTTTTTTAGAGATTCTTTCGGTGAGTTGTTTTTTACCGGCAATGATTGATTTAGTTGGCATATATTATTTATTTTGTTGCTCTTTTTCCTTAGACTGGACGGAATTTCACCAAATTACTTAAATCAGAATCTTTGATATATAAGGCTGTTGTGCTTATTTTAGAGTGTCCTAAAACTTTCTGCAAAACAGGCAAGGGCATTCCTGAAATAGCCTGATAAGTAGCGAAGCATCGGCGTAAAGTATGCGGTGCTAATTCTACTTTCTCACTAATATTCATCTCCTTTTTTACTTGCTCTAAGAATTTTGAAAAAGTAAAACGATTAGTTTGCTGAGGTTGTCAGTTCCTTTTTTTGAGTTCGCGAATAATTTCTTCACCAACATATACTCATCTTTCTTTTTTACCTTTACCACGTAAAAGATACAAGTTTTTAAAAGATGGTTCTTGGTTTTCTAAGGACAAATCAAAATTGATGGCTTCACTAATTCTTAACCCAACTTTCCAGCCCAACAAATATAAACATTCCATGACTGGCTTTTTATATTCTCCTTTCTTGGTTGGTCTAGTGGTTATGTAATCCCAAATTTGCTGTAAAAGTTGATTAGTTGGTAAAACTGCTAATTTTTTATTTTCTTTTCTTTTTCTTT